CGTATTCGTGGTTGTCAAACAGTCCTTGTACCATGAAGTTTAGATCGCGAACACTAGAAGCGACAACCGTCCATTCTTCCTTTGCCAAGTCTCTCTTCTCAACAACATAGTTGGTGATCTTGGAGCCGCCGTCGTTCACGGGTGGTCGCCAAGACAGACCAACTTGGTGCAAACCAATTTCGCTGAAGTGCAGTGGTCCTTGTGGCGCCGATGGAAGCCCTGTCACATTCAGCCAGAATCCGGTTGAAGCTTCTCCGCTGTCATTGCTGATTATGTACTCGTATCGTCCAGCTTCACGGGTTGAAAGTGATGGGATCGTAATGAGTATATGGTCATCGAAATCGACCGTACGAATGGATGTGTGCTCAGAATCGACTTCTTCCTTGTTCAGTGTTAAGACATGCTTGAATGGTGGTGTTCCGGAGAAGTAGATCTTCAGCCGGACCATTTCTCCCATGGGCAAGATCGTGTTCGGCACATCTTTCTCGATAACAGGTGGAGCTGAAAGAAATGTTTGCTTAATTTCGTAGACATTTCAAAACGTTTACTTACCTTGTACAATGAGCTTTGCTGTAGCTGTATCACTACCGTACACGTTCGAAACTTCACAGGTGTACTCTCCGGCATCAATGTCCCACACTTCTTTGATGGTGAATCTGTAGCTTCCGTCATGAGCTTCGAAACGATATCGTGTGCTTTCGGGTAGCTCTCGTCCGTTTCTCATCCACCTGCATACAGGTTCGGGACGGCCTACAGCTTCACATACGAAGACCGCACGTCTGTTGTAAGGCTGAGCAGTGTCTTCTGGTTTCACAACAATCATTGGTCGTGATCCGTTCAGATCTTGAATCTTAATGGGTGATGTTGGCAATGACGGCACTCCCTTTCCGACTTGATTGATAGCAATAATTCGGAACTCGTAGTCGTGGAACTCTTTCAGACCAGGCACAGTGAATTCAGGGTCGCGAACATTGTAGTCGCTGACCTTGCTCCACAAGGTGCTTCCATATTCACGTTGCTCGACGATATAGCCGGTGATTGGAGATCCACCATCGTCGATTGGAGGCACCCAAGTAAGCGTGACATGGTTGCGTCCGATTGAAGTGGCGTTTGCCTGGCTCGGTGGTCCAGGAGGCCCGAACTTGGCCTTCAGTTTGACGCGATCCGAAGGTGCTGATGGCTTGGAGAAGCCAGCAGCGTTTTTCGCACTCACTCTGAACTCGTACTCTCCGTTTTCGCGGAGATTGTTGACGCGTAGTGTGGTTCCTGTCACCAGGTCGTTGCTGGCGTTGATCCATTTGCCTGACAGAGCGTCACGGTACTGTACTTGGTAACCGATGATCTTTGAGCCTCCATTCGCAGGCGGATCCCACTCAACCTCAGCCCAGGTGGCGTCCATATCGCGAACGACAGGTGGTTCAGGTTGACTAGGAACATTGAACTGGTACTTCGCAGTTATCGGGTCTGGATTCTCAAGAGGCTCAGAAACACCGAACTGGTTTTCGGCGCGAACGCGGAATTTGTACATTTCTCCCTCAAGTAGATTGGATACTGTGTAGGTCGTATTCCTCACAAACGACGAGACTTTCTCCCAGACTGGCTCGACACCTTTGAGGCACATCTTCTCCAAAACATAGTTGGTGATTGGTGATCCACCATCGGTTTTTGGAGGATTCCACGATAAGGTGCAGCAATCGGGAGCAATGTCAGTGATTTCAAGTGGTCCGACAGGTGCACCTGGACGATCCACTACTCGTAACTTTACGGTAGCGCTATCCTTGCCCATAGAGTTTTCTAGCTGAAAGAATTTGTATTCAGCATTCATCAAGTTGAAGTTTTAGTTATTTCTCACCGAAATTGTGTATTGTCCACTGTCACTGATTTCACAAGAGTCTATTGTCATCACTGTCAGGTAGTCATTGCTCTCGACTTTGTTCCTCTTGTCACGCTCATCTAGCACCAGCTCTCCCTTTGACCATTTAATCTTCGGCATAGGAGAGGCGCTGTATGGAACCAAAATCTGAAAAGGGTATTCTTTTCTAGACAAATGTAGAAAGATCATCGTAGAAAAAAAA